GAAGCTTCTGTAAAGCAAAGGACACTGTCAGTAGGACAAAAAGGCTGCCTTCTGACTGGGAGAAGATCTTCACCAACCCCTCATCAGACAAAGGTCTGATCTCCAAAATATACAAAGAACTCAAGAAACTAGGCACTAAAACTCTAATTAACCCAATTAAAAAATGGGGTACTGAACTTAACAGAGAATTCACAACAGATGAACTTCGAATGGCCAGAAGACACTTAAGGTCATGCTCAACCTCCTTAGCGATCAGGGAAATGCAAATCAAAACCACTTTGAGATACCATCTTACACCTGTCAGAATAGCTAAAGTCAAAAACACCAATAATAGCCTATGCTGGAGAGGATGTGGGGTGAGGGGAACACTCATCCATTGTTGGTGGGAATGCAAACTCGTGCAGCCACTGTGGAAATCAGTGTGGCGGTTTCTCAGGAAACTGGGAGTCAACCTCCCTCAGGACCCAGCAATACCACTCTTGGGAATATACCCTAAAGATTCCCTAACATACTACAAAAGCATTTGTTCAACTATGTTCATAGCTGCACTATTTGTAATAGCCAGATCATGGAAACAACCTAGGTGCCCCTCAATAGAAGAATGGTTAAAAAAGGTGTGGAACATATATACATTAGAGTTTTACTCGGCGGTAAAAAACAATGACATCTTGAATTTTGCATGCAAATGGCTGGAAATAGAAAACGCTTTACTGAGTGAGGTAAGCCAGACCCAAAAAGAGGAACACGGTATGTATTCACTCATAAGTGGATTCTAACCATAATTAAAGGTCTTTGAGCCTATTATTCGTGATCCTAGAGAAGCTAAATAAGAAGATGAACCTGATGAAGATTATTTAGCTATCCACCAGGAGGTAGGAAATAGACAAGAGTCCCTTGTACACTTTATTTTGATCATATTCAACTCAACTGCAAATACTTCCAAATCCATTCTCTTTACTTAAACACTCAACTTTCTCTTTTAAAAACAAAACCCAATGTATATATAAAAGATCTCAAGAAATTAGTCATCAAAAGAACAAATAATCCAGTAAAAGAAAAATGGAGTACAGTCCTCAACAGAGGAATCTAAAATGGCTGAAAGACACTTAAGGAAATGTTCAACATTCTTAGCCATTAGAGAAATGCAAATCAAAACTAGACTGAGATTCCATCATAAACTTGTAAGAATGGCCAAGATCAAAATTACTGGTGACAAATTATACTGGGAGGATGTGGGATAAAGGGAACACTCCTGCATTGCTGGTGGAAGTGCAAACTGGCACAATCACATTGAATATCAGTATGTTGATTTCTCGGAAAATTAGGAAACAACCTTCTTAAAACCCAGCAATATCACTTTAGAGTATATACCAAAAAGATTGTCCACTCTCTCCGTATCTATTCAATATAGTTCTTGGGGTCCTAGACAGAGCAATAAGACACCAGAAGGAGATCAAGGAGATACAAATCTGAAAAGAAGGAGTCAAACTCTCACTGTTTGCTGATGATATGATAGTTTACATAAGTGATCCCAAAAAGCCTACCAAGGAACTTCTACAACTCATAAAAACTTTCAGAAATGTAGCAGGATACAAGATTAACTCAAAAAAATCAGTAGTAGCCCTCCTGTACACAAATGATAAAAGGACTGGGAAAGAAATCAAAGAATCAACATCATTCACAATAGCCACAAATATCATAAAATATCTCAGAGTAATGCTAACCAAACTAGTAGAAGACTTACATTACAAGAACTTTACATCTTTAAAGAAAGAAATTGAAGAAGACACCAGAAAGTGGAAAGATCTCCCAAGATCTTGGGTACGCAGAATTAACATAGTAAAAATGGCAATCTTACCAAATGCAATCTACAGATTCAACACAATGCCCATTACAGTCCCAGCAAAATTCTTCAAAGACCTCGAAAGAATGGTACTCAACATCATATTGAAAAGCAAAAACCCCAGGATAGCCAAAACAATCCTGAATAATAAAAGAACTTCTGGAGGCATCACAATCCCTGACTTTAAACTCTCCTATAGAACTACAGTACTGAAAACAGCCTGGTATTGGCATAAAAACAGACAGGAGGATCAATGGAACCAAATACAAGACTCAGATATCAATACACACATCTTCGAACACCTGATCTTGACAAGGAAGCAAAAAATATCAAATGGAAAAAAGAAAGCATATTTAACAAGTGGCATAACTGAATATCAACACATAGAAGAATGAAAAAAGACGCATATCTATCACCATGCACAAAACTCAAGTCCAAATGGTTCAAAGACCTCAACATAAAGCCAGCCACACTGAACCTTATACAAGAGAAAGTGGGAAGTACTTGAATGCATTGACACAAGGACCCACTTCCTAAATATAACCCAGCAGCACAGACAGTGAGAGAAACAATTAATAAATGGGACCTCCTGAAACTGAAAAGCTTCTGTAAAGCAAAGGACATGGTCAACAAGACAAAATGACAGCCTACAGAATGGGAAAAGATCTTCACTAACCCCACATCAGACAGAGGTCTGATCTCCAAAATATATGAAGAACTCAAGAAATTGGTCACCAAAAGAACACATAATCCAATAAAAAAAAAATGGAGTACAGACCTAAACAGAGAACTCTAAACAGAGGAATCTAAATGGCTGAAAAACACTTAAGGAAATGTTCAACATTCTTAGTCATTAGAGAAATGCAAATCAAAACAATTCTGAGATTCCATCTTATACCTGTAAGAATGACCAAGATCAAAAACACTGATGACAACTTATGATGGAGAGGTTGTGGGGAAAAGGGAACACTTCTGCATTGCTGGTGGGAATGCAAGCTGGTACAACCCCTTTGGATGGTCAGTGTGGCAATTTCTCAGAAAATTAGGAAACAGCCTTCCTCAAGACCCAGTAATACTACTTTTGGGTATATATCCCAAGGATGCTCAATTGTGCCACAAGGACATGTGCTCAGTTATGTTCATAGCAGCTTTGTTTGTCATAGCCAGAACCTGGAAACAACCTAAATGCTCCTCGAGTGAAGAATGGATAAGGAAAATGTGGTACATTTACACAATGGAGTACTACACAGCCGAAAAAATAACACCATCTTGAATTTTGCAGGAAAATGGATGGAGCCAGAAAACATTATTTTGAGACCCACATTGGAGCACTGGACTGAGCCCCCCAAGGTCCAAATGAGGAGCAGAAGGAGGAAGAACATGAAAAAGGAAATCAGGACCGCGAGGGGTGTCATCACTCACTGATACAAGGGGACTGATCTAATGAGAGTTCACCAAGGCCAGTTGGACTGGGACTGAACGAGCACGTGATCCAACCAGATTCTCTGAATGTGGCCGGATTCTCTGAATGTGGCTGGCCCGGAATCTTTCTGAAAAGCCATTGACAATGACACTGGGACTTGTTTCCTCTGCATATACTGGATTTTTTTGGAATCCAGTCTGTTTGGATACTCACCTTCCTGGACCTGGAGGGAGGGGGGAGGAACTTGAACTTCCCACAGGGCAGGAAATCCTGACTGCTCTTAGGGATGGAGAAGGAGGAGGAGAGGGAGGGGGGGAGTGGGAGGGTGTTGGGAGGAGGGGAGGAAATGGAAACTTTTATAATTTAATAAACTTTGAAAGAAAAAAAATAAAAAATAAATAAATTTTGTTTTCCAAGTCGCGTGGTGGTGGTGCACGCCTTTAATCCCAGTACTCAGGAGGCAGAGGCAGGCAGATCTTTGTGAGTTCGAGGCCAGCCCGGTCCACAAACTGAGTTCCAGGACAGCCAGAGCTTAAACAGCGAAACCCTGTCTTTTAAAAAACATAAATAAATAAATAAACAAACAGAATTTTGTTTTCCAAGACTGGGTGTTTTCACATAACCAGACTGTCTTAAAGCTGACTATCTAGTGCAGGCCACCCTCGACCTCCCGATCTTCCTACTTCAGCCTAAGTCCTGGGATGGCAAGTGTGCGCCACCAAGTGGAACTGGAAACAAGTTTTGTTTTTTGTTTGTTTTTGCATCAGTGACAGAAGAGAGGTATGATGTCTGGAGGGGCTCTCCAGGGCTTCAAGGTCCACCGCAGTTTTGAAGTATACGATTGTCCTTCCTAGCTATGAGAAGCAAAGAGTGTCCTCGGCCAGATCCCAGAACGAGAAAGAAGGGAGGGAGGGATGGTAGGTTATCCACAGACCTCGTAGACGGCTAGATCGATTCCAGCATAGGGGATGATGCCCAGCATGTTAGGCAGGTAACCACGGTAGAAGGCACGGGGGCCCTTCGCGCTACAGGATCCGCCTTGCGCAGTCCAGGAGCCCCTTGTACTGGCCAGTTTTCCGTAGAGTCAGCCTTGTCTTCAGTACCTCCATGGGGTATATGATGGTTTGAGCTGTGGCCCCGGCCAGGGAGCCAGCCACGAAGCGCTCCTGAACGTGCAGCGTCTCTTGCTGCCCCCGGATAGCCCGCTTGATCTGATCGTAAGCCATGAACTTGATGGCTGACTCAAGGGTGATCTTGAGCACGTTGATACCATTGCCCCGCCAGAGGGACAAGATGCCCCCTTCTTGAATCATGTTCCGCAGGCCCCCTAGGATGTTGAGCCGGTTGGACTTGGAGGCATGGACCTGCATGAAGACCTTGAGACGGTCCAGAGGAGCTGTGCCTGTCCGCGACACAGCGCCGGCCACTGCGCCAGCCACCAGCTGCTTCCACCACATGCCGGTAAGTTTCTCCTGCTTGGAGAACTCATCAGACACCGTCAGGCATTCACCAATGTCCAGGACCGTAGAATGCTTCCAGAAATACAGGACATCCTCCACATTCTCCAGAGAGTGCAGCAGAAAGTGGTCTCGCCATTCCTGCCAATCAATGGTCATGGTGCCAACGCGGTCCATGCTGTGTAGGATTTTCTCTGCCTGCTCCAGCGAGATAGAGATGCCCAGCGCTCGGAAGCTTTGCTGAATCTCAGAGACCATCCTGGTTCCGGTCAAGGCTATGAAACATGAGCAGAAGGCGTTGCTCCCGCTCCTACAGGTAGCGGGTGAATTCCTCCAGGCTGAGGCCACCATCTGGATCAGCGTCCCCCTCAGAGGAGATGCCCTGCTGTGCATGGTCGGGATGGCCCCCTCCCAGCCTGGCCAGTCCCTGGCGCAACTCGTGCACGTCCACACTGCCGTCCTTGTTGCTGTCCCACTCCTCGAACAGGCGACTCCAGCGCTGCCGCGTCGCCGGAGCCCCTCCCCCCCGCCCGGGGCCCGCCCCGGGCGGGGGGGGAGGGGGAGGCCCCACAGCGACGGCCTCGGCGGGGGCTTTCCGGCTCCCCCTCCCCTCCGGGGTCCCCGCAGGGCCAGCTCCCGCGGGGCCAAGCTCTCTAGACTGGATTTTTCTGTGTAACTTTGACTTTCCTGGAACTAGCTCTGTAGATCAGGCTAGCCTGGAACTCACAGAGATCTGCCTGCCTCTGCCTTTGAAGCGCTGGGACTAAAGGTGTGTGTCACCACCAACAGGGTACTGTTGATAGCTTTGCATCTGGATGCCTCATTTTCATCCTCTATTTCTAATGTGCTGTTAGTCAAAGGAAAATTACATCATTTTCTCCCTCTATTCCTTTTACACATCTTTTTTTTAAGGCTGGCACCAGAAGGTGTGGCCAAGATTTAAGGTTGATTCTCACGGCTCAAAAGATCGTGATTTAGGTGGGTCTGTCCACTTCAAATGATTTAATCAAGAAAATCCCTCTGCAGGGCATGGTGGTACTTGCCTATAATCCCAGCACCTGGGAGGCAGGGGCAAGTGGATCTTTGTGAGTTTGAGGCCAGCCTGGTCTACAGAGGGAGTTTCAGAACAACCAAAAATATACAGAGAAACCTTGTCTCAAAAAAAAAAGAAGAAGAAGAAAAGAAAAGAAAAAAATATTCCTCACTAGGCTGGCACCAGAAGGTGTGGTCAAGTTTTAGGTGGATTCTTACATGGCAAACATTCAGAATTTAGGTGGGTCTGAAGCAAATGATTCAGTCAAGAAAAACCCCTCACAAGAAAAAATCACAGATTCTTGAATTTTAGTTAATTATTTATTTTTTTTAAAAAAAAAACTATCTTTTCTCTATTTACATACCAACCCCAGTTCCAACTTTCTCCTCCCTTCTTACTCTCTCCATCTTCCCCTCCAATTCACACTCCCATCCATCTACTCCTCAGAAAGGGTAAGGCCTCCCATAGGAAGTCACCAAAGTTTAGCACATTGCCCTCCTCACTATATCTAGGCTGAGCAAGGTATCCCTCAAAAGAGAATAAGTTCCAAAAGTCAGTACAAACAATAGGGATAAATCCTGGTCCTACTGCCAGTGACCCTACAGTCTGCCCCAGTCATACAACTGTCACCCATATTAGGAGGGACTAGTGCTGGTCCTGTGCTGGTTCCCCACTGTCAGGCCAGAGTTAATGGGCACCCATTAGTTAAAGTCAGATGTTTCTGTGAGAATCGCCATCATGGTCTTGACTCCTTTGCTCATATTCTCGCTCCTCCCTCTCTTCAATTGAACTTTGGGAGTTGAGTCCAGTGCTCCACTCTGAATCTCTGCTACTGCTTCCATCAGTTGCTGGATAAAGGTTCTGTGATGACAGTTAAGATAGTCTCAGTCTTACTACAGGGCAAGCCCAGTTGCTTAGGGTCTTATCTAGGGTCATCCTTGTAAATTCCTGGGAATTTCTCTAGTGCCAGGCTTCTCACTAGCCCCATAATGACTCCCTCAATCAATTTATCTCTTTCCTTGCTCTCCCTCTGTCCTTCTCCCATCTCAGCCATCCCATTACCTCAAGTAATTCTCCTTTCTCGCCTTCTTTCCTTCTCTCCTTCTTTCCTTCCTTCTCCCCTTCCTCCCTTCCTTTTCTCTCTACCCCAACACTCCCAATTTTCTCAAGAGATCTTGTCTATTTCCCCTTCCCAGTGGGATCTATGTATGTTTCTTTTAGGTTGTCATTTCCTAGCTTCTTTGAGACTGAGAACAATAAGCTCCTTATCCTTTGCTTTATGTCTAATATCCACTTATGAGTAAATACATACCATACTCATCTTTCTGATCTGGGTTACCTCTCAGGATTTTTTTTTCTAGTTCCATCCATTTTCATGAAACTTCAAGATTCCATTGCTTTTTTTTACTGCTGAGTAGCATCCATTGTGTAAACGTACCACATTTTCTTTTTTTAAAAATATTTATTTATTATGTATACAATATTCTGTCTGTGTGTATGTCTGCAGGCCAGAAGAGGGCACCAGACCTCATTACAGATGGCTGTGAGCCACCATGTGGTTGCTGGGAATTGAACTCAGGACCTTTGGAAGAGCAGGCAATGCTCTTAACCTCTGAGCCATCTCTCTAGCCTCCCACGTTTTCTTTTTTACCCATTCTTCAGCTGAGGGGTATCTAGGTTGTTTCCTTGTTCTGGCTATTACAAATAATGATGCTACGAACATAGTTGAGCAAATGTCCTAATAGTATGATTAAGCATCCTTTGGGTACATGCCCAAGAGTGATATTGCTGGGTCTTGAGGTAGGTTGTTTTCCAATTTTCTGAGAAATCCCATAATAATTTCCAAAGTAGCTGTACAAGTTTGCACTCCTACCAGCAATGGAGGAGGGATCCCCTTGTTCTACATCCTCCAGTATAAGCTATCTTTGGTGTTTTTGACCTTAGTCATTCTGACAGGTGTAAGATTATATCTCAGAGTCATTTTGTTTTGCATTCCTCTGATGGCTAAGAATGTTGAACATTTCCTTAAGTGTCCTTCAGGTATTTGAGATTCTTCCATTGAGAATTCTGTTTAGCTTTGTGCCCCACTTTTAAATTAGATTGTTTGGCATTTTGATATCTAGTTTCTTGAGTTCTTTATGTATTTTGGAGATCAGTCCTCTATCTGATGTGAAGTTTCTGAAGATCTCTTCCCATTCAGTAGGCTGCCTTTTTGTCTTATTGACCATGTCCTTTGCTTTACAGAAGCTTCTCAGTTTCAGAAGATTCCATTTATTTATTGTTGCTCTCAGTATTTGTGATACTGGGGTTATACATAAGAAGTGGTCTCCTTCAAGGCCCATGCATTGAAGACTACTTCCCACTTTCTCTTCTATCAGGTTCAATGTGGTGCTGCAGGAGCTCCTTCCGCTCCTTCAGTCAATAGCCGCTGAGATACCAGCCCATTGGGGCATGGTCTCTCTCTCTCTTTAAAAAAGCAGCAGCTGCCGGGCGGTGGTGGCACACGCCTTTAATTCCAGCACTTGGGAGGCAGAGGCAGGCGGATCTCAGTGAGTTCGAGGCCAGCCTGGTCTACAAGAGCTAGTTCCAGGACAGGCACCAAAAACTACAGAGAAACCCTGTCTCAAAAATCCAAAAAAAAAATTAAAAATAAAAAATAAAAATAAAAAAGCAGCAGCTGTCCTCCACTCTCTCTCTGGCTTCCGGCTCCGCTTCCAGCTACTAGACTCCTTTCCTGATTGTGCAGAGGGGCTATTGTTTGGGATGGTAATCTATAAGTTTTTTTCCCCTTTGAATAAATAACCATTCTATTAATCATAATTCTAAACTGGTGTGGGATTGTTTGTGACTTACGCCTTCAATGTGGTAGGATTTATACTGAGGTCTTTAATTCAATTGGATTTGTGTTTTGTGCACGGGGATAGATATGGACCTATTTGCATTCTTCTACATACTGACATCCAGTTATGCCAGCACCATTTGCTGAAGATGCTTTCTTTTTTCCACTGTAAAATTTTTTGTTTCTTTGTCAAAAATCAAGTGTTCATAGGTGTGTGGATTAATACCCAGATCTTCACTTCTATTCCATTGGTCCACATGTCTGTTTTTACACCCATACCAAGCTGTTTTCATTACTGTAGCACTATAAAAGTTTATTGTACATGATTGTTTTGGCTATAGCGGTTTTTTTTTCCATATGAAGTCAAGTATTGTTCTTTTGAGGTCTGTGAAGAATTGTGTCAGGGTTTTGATGGGGATTGCATTGAATCTCTAGTTTACTTTTGGTAAGATTGTCATTTTTATTATGTTGATCCTACTACCTATCCAAGAGCATTGGAGATCTTTCAATTTTCTGATATCTTCTTCAATTTCTTTCTTCAAAGACTTAAAGTTCTTATCATCTAGGTCTTTCACTTATTTGGTTAGTGTTACCCCCAAGATATTTTTATATTGTTTGTGGCTATTGTGAGTAGTGATGCTTCTGTTTTCTTTCTCAGGCCCTTTATCATTTGTATATAGGAGGATTATTGTTTATTTTCCGTTGATCTTGTATCCTGCCACATTGTTGAAGGTGTTTATCAGTTGCAGAAGTTTCTTGGTAAAATTTTGGGGGTCACTTATGCATACTACCATATAATCCTTAAATAGCAAAAGTTTGACTTCTTTTTCAATTTATATCCTCTTGATCTCCTTTTGTTGTCTTGTTGTTATAGCTAGAACATCGAGTACTATGTTAAAATGATATAAAGTGGACAATCTTGCCTTGTTCCTGATTTTAGTAGAATCATTTTGAGTTTCTCTCCATTTAGTTTGCTGTTGGCTGTCGGATTACTGTATATTACTTTTATTATGTTTAGATATGTTCCATGTATCCCTGATCTCTTCAAGACTTTTCTCATGAATGGGTATTGGATTTTATCAAATGCTTTTTCAACATCTCTTGAGATGATCATATGTTTTTTTTCTTTCAGTTTCTTTATATGGTAGATTACATTGATAGATTTTTGTATATTAAACCATCCCTGCATCCCTGGGATGAAGTCAACTTGATCATAGTGGATGTTTTTTGACGTGTTATTGGATTCGGTTTGCCAGTATAGGTTTTATTGAGTATTTTTGCATCAGTGTTCATAAGGAAGTTTGATCCGTAATTATCTCTCTTGGTTGAGTTTTTGTGTGGTTTTAGCATCAGGGTAACTGTAGCCTCATAAAAAGTTTGGCAGTTTTCCTTTTGTTTCTATCATGTGGAACACTTTGAGGAGTATAAGTATTAGCTCTTCTTTGAAGTTCTGGTAGATGGCTGAAACCATCAGTCAGTGGACTTGTTTTGATTGGACTGCTTTTGATGACTGCTTCTATTTCCTTACAGGTTATAGGTCTATTTAATTTGTTCATCTAGTCTTGATTTAATTTTGGTATTTGGTACCTATGTTCCAAGCCATGACTCTAAGCAGCTGAATGTCCAAGTTATAAATTACGAGCCTAAGGAGTCAAATATCAAAATATCAAGAAATCTGTATCTTGCACGCCTTTAATCCCAGCACTCGGAAGGCAGAGGCAGGCAGATCTCTGTGAATTCAAGGTCAACCTGGTCTACAAGAGGTAGTTCCAGGACAGACCACAAAGCTTCAGAGAAACCGTGTCTCGAAAAACCAAAAAGAAAAAAAAAAGAAAAAGAAAAAAGAAATCTGTATCTTATCAGATCACCATGGCTTAAAGTTAATTGCAGAAAGCCTACAAACTCATGGAAATTTAAGTGTACAATTGAGTCACCCCTAGGTCAAGGAAGAAATACATCTTTTTCTAACACTTCTGAGGTGATATCTACCCTTGATGTTAAGGTATGTTTCATAGATGCAAAAGCAGGATGGATTCTATTTTCACATCCTTCTGTTAGTCTCTTTTTACTGGAGAACCAAGATCATTGATGTTGAGAGATATCAATGAGTAGCTTGTTGATTCCTGTTATTATGCTGTTGTGATGTATGTATGTGTATGTGCATATGTTTCCCCTCTTTTGATTTGCTAGCCTGGGATTATTTATTCCTTGCATTATCTCAGGTGTGGTTAAACTATTTAGATTTAATTTTTCCTTCTAGTGTCTTCTGTAAAGCTGATTGCATTTTTAAAAACTTTTGTTTTTCGAGATAGGGTTTCTATGCATAGCCCTGGCTGTTCTGGAACTCTATAAACCAGGCCAGCCTTGAACTCACAGAGATCTGCCTGCCTCTGCCTCTGCCTCCTGAGTGCTGAGATTAAAGGTGTGTGCCACCACCCAATGCACAAATTTAGTCTTATCACGGAATGTTATATTTTCTCCAGCTACTGTGATAGAAAATGTCGCTGGGGGTTGAAGAGATGATGGCTCCAAGGTTAACAGCACTGATTGCTCTTCCAGTGGTCCTGA